CGTCACTTGACTTCCGCTGTCGTAACAGTATGATGAAGGCCATGAAATGCATTTTTATATAGTAGCAAACATAGTCTGCAAAGTAGTTTCTGGTCTACTTGAATTCTGCATGGAGATATTTTGTATAATCAGATGTTTTATTAAAGATTTGTTTACAAAGTGACCTGTCTTGGCTGTGTTTTAGTGTAAAATACAGTCAAATTTCATTTATAATACATTATATAAGTTTATACATTATTACTATTTACAATTAAGTTCTTAAACTTATTTTTCTTAAAACATAGAACAGTAAATAAATAAGTATAGCAAACTATTATCTCTTCTAGTTACGAGCTTTGTACTCGTTTTCTTCTTACCTTAGATTGCTAAGCCTTATCAAATTTCGCACGTGGAAGATATGAAACGAAATAATTTTTATTTAGGTTTATATATATATATAAATTTGAAATAACCAAAAATAATAAATAACTACACCAATACCATAGATTTCCACTATAATTTATCAAACTTATTAACTAAGCTGTATTTAGGGCTAAAAAAATATGGAATTTCGAGCCGACCAAATACTAAACTTATCAGTTTGGAATCTTGGGTCGAAAGGAGTCGACGTCATAATACTTCAAAATGGCTGAGAAAGCAGCTAGAGGGACATTCTGAGCTTTCGATTGGTTATTCACATGTCATAGACAGAAGTACGTGTACATAAGAAAGTGTTTCCAAAAATGGAAAGAAGTGGGCGGAGCCACTATGCGTGTTTCAGTTTTTGAGTGATATCTCAACAAATAGAAAAGATAGGAGGTTCTTATTTTATATTATACCTTGTTTCTAATTCGTAAGAAACTATACACTTTGTACTTGGACGTCACAAACAAATAATTTGAACCAATGCTACATTCAACATACCACGTAACACACAAAAATCGATATTTAGATGTGTTCTTTTAATAGTTACTTTAGAATTTGACTAATCTATAATACTAAAACTTGAATAATAATCAACAATTTGATACCAAACTTATTGACATAAATTCATAAAATAGCAAATCAATAACATTTTGAATGTAAGTCAACAAACGTGATGACATGACGATAGTGTATTATTGTGCCATGTTACTTGAACCTTCTGAGTTTTCTCTTTTTAATTGAGTGTTATTGCATGATTAGATATGGTAGGATGTGGAACGTTATCGACCACTGTAGGGGTATAAATATGCGTCGAAAATTTAGATTGAAAGATAGATCTATATTTTGTGATCATAAATTTATTCTTAAAGAGTGTATAGTGGCGATTTTTAAAGTGAAATTATCACAGACTGTATTGTAATAACAGAGCAGGAAGAATAATTCGTCTTGTCAAATTGTGTTCTATAGTAACTGAACCAGTCTGTGTGGACTTTGACGAAAAAGAGACAATTATTCAAAGTTCTGGATAAAACTGTGATAACCAACAGTGTAACTAACATTTTTATATACGTTTGACTTGTTTTGATATATTATCTTAAAACAAGTGGGCTGTGCGATGTTTGTTTATTGTTGAAATTTATCGCCAACAAATCACAGATACTGACTGTAAAGAATCCGGTCCAAACATAAATAATGACTTACAAGTTTGTTTGTAATTAAGCACAAAGCTACATAATGGGCTATCTGTGCTCTGCCCACCACGGGTATCGAAACCCGGATTCTAGCATCTTAAGTCCGCAAACATACTGCTGTGCCACTGGGGGCATGACTTACAAATCACCATTTTCTTTGCATCATCATCTATTGTCTTTAAAGTGAAGTATGATGTTATTACGAAGTGACATTTAATAAATTTTACGTTTTGTCATTGTCTTTGTTTTTATTTCGTGTCCATTTGATGTGCTTATTTATCTAACCTATGACATAATTTTGTGTTTGTTACTTGCTTTAGTGGCCTTTTCTAGCAGGAAAATGATCTAACTAATTATATGCTTTATGTTATGTAATCTTGGGTCTTTCTGTAATTAAAAAAAAATCGAAAGAAATTGGATGATGTTTGTAACAATAAGAAATTTTATTTTGAATAAGAACATATTTAGATCGTAAGAAAACTCCAACTTGATACTTCATTATAAATTTGATTTTTTGGGTACAAAAGACTTGTAATCTTTAATAAAAGTTCTACCAAATATTGCGAAGATACACGTACCGCATTAAAAGTTATAGTATAAATACTTAA